ATGCACGCGTGAAATGATAATAAGTTGAAATAATGATATGACAATGTATACGAGCGATAAAAGTTTTAAAAGTTTTCGGAAAATTTCACAAACTCATTTTATTTCAAACGCCTACGGTTTAATTTTAGATTTGATTATTGAAATCAAGCTCTCGACTACGTAGATGAAAACGAAAATACATAATTCATGGAAAATGTAAATGTGGGCGATACACGGGACATCACAATGGAACGGCTATAAAAGGCTTTAAAAGACCGAGGTGTAAAATGACAATGGATGAGAAGAGTAAACACAAGGTGTGAGAGAAAAAGAGAGAAAGAGAGAAAGAAAGAAAGAGAGAGAGGGAGAGGGAGAGAGCAGTCAAAGAGGAAACGACTCGTGAAAGGATGACAAAGAGAGATGGAGTTCCGCAGAGTAGTGAAAAATTAATGGTGTCGCATAGTCCCGGCTGCTGATTAACTTGGATTCTATCAAAGTACTTCACAATTCGTTAATCTCTTGATTATCATCGCACCAAACCTACGAACCTGTTGCACTTCTTTCAGCGAGCGATTATTTTGCGTAATACAGCCATTTTTTTGAGAAAACTACCCGTTGTTTTTATTATTATTAGTTTTTTATTATACCGGGCAAAACTTTCTCTTGATCTCTTTATTGCGATAAAATCCTCTTCAATATATGTGTCGCGTCATATAATCTCATCCTTAAAATTTTCTTTATTTTATTATATAAGTCGTTCTTGCGCATTTGTTAAAATTGGAATCTTTTTCTCAACAATATCACAATAATTTTTAAGATAAAATAATGATATAGGTTGTTTTAAATAAGGATAAGAGAAATAAATAAATAAATGAAGAGATGAATAAGTAACTTATACAAAAGAAGCAAACTAATATTATATAAGACGAAGCACAACTACATTAACCACTTTAATCGTAAGCAAGTCGTCATTAAATACTTTAATCGTACAACAAATAAATAATTTAATCGTTTCTTATTCCAATATGCACTCAAAAGAGAACATATTTTACGAATTATCTTTAATATTAAATTTTTTAATAACAATAATCTTTCAGGATATGTATATTTATTATTAATCTTTATTATTAACTATTATTAATCTATATTTTCTCATATAATTTTAATACTAATACATACACACTAATGTTTACACAATAGACTGATGCGTCAATAATGCTGAAAGCTTCAATGTAATTCATGACGAAAAGTTAATATTCAAAACTAAAGAGACAACATGAAGCACTGTATTATTGTTTGCGCAGTAGTAGATATCAGGGATATGAATCACCGATATTAGTGTCAGAGAACTTTGGCCGATCAATAGAAGTTAAAGAATCTAAAGCATATTTAAACTTTTCTTGAATTTAAAGTATCGGACACCTCAAAGGTGCTTCAATTATGGTGATAATGCTCTAATTATATACTCACTTCTGTGTCCTTTATCCATGACCGGATCTCTTCTCAGCTTCACTCTTCTCTTCGCATTCATTCGTGGAGCTGAAAAACATATAAAATATATGTTTGAAAACTTAATGTCATAAAAACTTTAAATATAACAACTAGCTTTCACCTTTTGATGTATTAATAATGTTCGAAGGAAAGTAAACTCTATAAAATTTAATAAGAATGAATAAAAAATAAGTATAAATAAATTTAATACGTGAATGTATAAAGATACATAGGAACATAATATTAGAGAAAAGACTCAATTGTAATCATGAGATTCAGTTTAAAAATCCAATTCGTGAAGTATGAAAAGAGGATAAGAGAACTGATATGTTTTTTTTCAATTTTAAATCAAAATATAAATTGAAATTACAGATTAAATAACAGCTTGATCTAATTCCGTGAAATAGAACAAAGAACATGATGTGTCATAAAATAGCCGTGATTTAGCGAAACAATGCTGCTCGCGTTGCTTTTCAACGTGACGGATTCGCATTCGCGTTGCGAGAAGAAACGAAATTTCTTTTACAACGTTGTTGTTAACAGTTATTGTGTCGGATTGCTCACATAGATTGAACCTTCCAACTACGTAGTAGCTGTTGTTTCGCGTATAAAAATCGTTCCGCGGAAGAATGAATTTAATCAAAATTGCGATGTATTCCGCGCGGCAATGAGAATCTCTTTGTTTAATACATGTTAGGAGCAACGGCGACTATAAAAGGCGAAGCGAGAGGAGCATCACAATCGAGATTTTCGGAGCAATTCCCTTTTTATAATGTGCCCTGGCGATTTCTGCTCGATGTAGCGTGAAGGCAATTTTGGCGTTAACCTCGATTGCATCCCATCTACGTTCGATCTCGACACGTCATCGTAACCACCTTGAAAAATTGACCCGGCGATGACCCGCGGACAAACTTAGAATAGGAATAGACCTGTCGAAGCGACAATGAATATTTAATCGCGCGAAGCGCAGATGTATTCTTTAGAAAGATAAAAGGGAATGAGAAGTATAAAGTACTATAGGATGTATTATATAATTTATATACTTCTCACTTAAAATAAAAAATAATAATTTAAAAAAGTTACAAAGAGACAAATATTTTAAGAAAGATTTAATTATAACATGTGCAAAGAAATTATTTAATCTTGTATATTTTTGAGTCGGTCTCTCTAATATCAAATGAAAAAAAAAACTCGTGAAACACGCTTCTGCGTGAACTTTGTTAGGGCGCAGCGAGAGTTTGAATGTCGTGCGATTACTTAACACGAAAAGCGCTTGATTATCTTTCCATCATGCTCTTCACTTCTCCGCGCGCCTGTTATCACGGTGTGTTTGTTGGCGAGCAAATTAATCTCCTGCGTTAAGTAAATCGAAGGACACAACCATTTAAATGAGAAACTGGACCTCCTCTCAAATGTTGCCAAGGTAAATGTTTGTTATATAATTAATACAATATATCTATTAATCTTCTTTTCTTTTTATATATAGCCTTTATTTTTTATATAAAATATTTTATACGATAACTGAAAAATTAACAATTCTTGAATTGTTATAATTATATATATGTATATGTATGATGGTAAAATTGAATCAACAACGACAAAGAGTAATTTACATTTTAAATTGTTTTTTTAAAGAATGTAAATCTCTCTCGTAGTTGTTAAATTGTGATATATTTTCATTTTATATTAAAAACGTAAATTTAATGATTAACATGTGAATTGATTAGTTCGCGGCACATATTACTGATCGCACATCTTTGTCACACACCCGTGTGAACTTCCTTTAATTCACGAGATGTTGCGTAGACCGTACCTAGAGGCATAAATCAATTACGTGACTCACTAACAGTTTCAACAAACGACTCTCTCGTGCAAACTGCGTTATCCGTCGTCGCAGCAGCAAACTTGCACATCGTAAAATTACATACAATCACTTTAGCACAGAATTATCTTCGCACCTCCTCTTGGCTCTCTGCTTTTCCCCTTTGTCTCTCTCTCTCTTTCTTTTTCTCTGTTTCTATGAAAAAAGTCGCTCTCGCCTTTTTCATTTCATCTCGTGCGCAGCTTGTTGCATCGCAGTTTATCGGCGAACGACAACGTAATCCGCCTTCCGATCGACATGCCGTTAATGAACACGTGGACAGATCGCGATTCGCACGTAGCTCTCGCATCTCGTGTTGGATCACGATAAACTGCCGTCGTTGCAATCGATAGAGTGGAGCTACGTGGGATAGCCGCTTTTCGAGCGAGAAAAATGAAACGGTCCGTTTTTCCAGCCGTAACTCGGTGACCCGCACGACGAGAAGGAAAATACGCTGTGTCGACCGGCCTCGCGATAAAATCTCCGGCAAACCCATACATGTTGGCAGTCATCCAAGTGCTTCTTACTTTTCAATTGTCCGCGTCAGCTGTCAATTTTCTATAAACGCGACGGAGCGACGATATCGCTATCGTGTGAAATAATTTCCAAAATGGATTCTCTGATTTTTCATATTTTCAATTAATTATTATATAACAATCTGAAAACTTGATAGATGTAAAATCATTAATATTTGTACGGCAGTTATATTAATTCTTTCTTTTTGTCATTTTTCACAGAGAGAGTTGCGTTATTATATATATATATAAGAAACATTATAAATAATTTAAGATGTGATTATTAATCAAACAAATTTTAAACGATTTTTTGAAAAATATATTCACATATATTTTAGGAAATTTATGAATCAATCTTTCTTTCTTTGTGTATTAAAATACTGTGTATTTAAATTACTTCGAAAGATAATTTTCTTTTAATTTTAACTAAACGTGATAGAAGCTTTTATCGGAAGGCTTAAAAAAAACTAGGTCAGCTATAATAAAAAGATACTGCATCGTGACCGAACTAAGTTAGTCTCTCGGTTAATGGTGATAAAATCATTCTGCTGATGTATAACAGAAATTATTAATATACGTCTCGTATATATATACTATACAGTCAATATTTAAAATTTATATTATTCTCTGCAATAATGTAAACCTAAAAAATTAATATAAAATAAAAGGGATATAAAACGCGCTTTAATTGAGATGCTTATAGCTTTGTTAATTCGCGCAGAGAAAATACTATTTTGAACCAACTAATGACATGATTCTTCGAATGAAAAAAATTTTGAATTTTTACATTAGTGAAACAGCTTTCAATTCAAAACAAACTTTATGCATTCGATTACACATCTTTAAAAAAAAAAAGAAAATATTCGTCTTGCAATAAATTGCAGAACGCGGTCTAAATACTTTCTAGTAAGAGTCTTTTGCGATACATATATGCATTTTAATGCATAGTATACATACAACAAGGCTGTCTCTTTTTTTCCTCATTAATATTTAAACTATGTAAATACATATCACAAGGTATTTATCAATAATCATAAATTGTGCGAAGAGAATGTCATAACAAATTTAGAAATGGGGCAAAGAAAGCACGTAAAAATGTTTGCAAATAATTATTACAAAAATGGGAGATACAAGTGTACTTTATCTCGCTGTACGAATATATTACATTAATAAAAAATGATAATAATGAAAAATAAAATAAAAGAAAATATAATGATCCCTTTATTTATAAGATGGCATAAGATTCTTCCGAGGCTCCATCTCAATTATATATTATAATATCAATCTTCTGCAGGAAAAAGGAGTCTGGTAAAAACAGGTCGCGCGTGCAAGTCATATGCAAACCAAGGGCGATATTTGATTGTGCTCGAATCAGGTATCACACAAGTCTAATTAACCCAAATGTCACGTTATCCTAGACAAAGAGACAGCTCGTTTCGTTTTCCCGTAGCAAATTAAATAGTATTTGAACACGACACCTTGGGCACGACACGAGTATGGAGATCTATGATGACCTCCGAAATTAAATTCCAGATTCCTAATTAACGAGATTTCACTACTAGCGGATACAAAAAACTCAGGATTAACTGAAACCAGTGTTACCCGCAAAATTGAATCAATGCCCAGCAAACTCGAAGCTCGATCGATCAAACGCACTCTCTTCCCATGTGCAACTTTTTTTCCGTAATACTAACATTTGCGCACCCGTGGCGAAAAATTCCTGCGGTTTGTGGGTACCCGATATATCCTTAATGAGGTACGAAATTATCCATGAAAAGTTAAATAATTAAATATTGAATCCTATATTATCTTTACTCATTACACGATCAGCTAATAATAAAAAACTATTTTTACGAAACGCGCAAAAAGAATGATCACATTTTGCTACATTTAATTAAATAAGAATATCTTTTCGTGAGATTAATAATATTACGAATATTTCCATTTCTTTTCAAGTATAAGAATATCCCTAAAAACTTATCTTTAAAAAAAAAGTAAAAAAGGCGTCAAATACATACGCCAGTTGTGACCGTTATATGTATTTATAAAATAATGTTACTTTAATTTAATCTGCACAAAATAGTGTTATTTTAAATTATTGAAAATAGAAACTTAAAAATATTTTAACAAAAAAAGTTGTACAAATATATCCTACAAAAATAATGATATTAAAAAATTGCGCTAACTTTAAATAAAAATTTATTCTATATAAATAAAATTTATTGATTTCCAATATTCCAAAAGAAAGAATATATCCAATAACACAAAACACATATGATAAAAAATTAATAGAGAAATTAAAACTTAGAAATGAATACAGAAAATTAAAAATTTATACAACAATTAAAAATTAATACAAATAAAAAAAAATTTTTATTAAAAAAACTTGGCGCTGTTAACTTTCAAAGTATACAGGGTGGCCTACCGAAAATGAAACAGGCGTGTTTTCGGCATTTAACCTCGTTTGTTTGAAAAACGCTCGGACAGATAACTTTATTTGCAAAGAGGACATGATAATTGACTTTTTCCATTCACTTAACTTTAACCCCAAAAAGGGGTTAATTTCACCTTAAAAATTTTACTAAAAAAATACGCTTGTTCCGTTTTCGGTGGGCCATCCTATATATTAAAACAATAAATAATAAATTTAATTTAGATCTAAACTTAATTTAGAATTATATTTAATTTAATTACATCAATAACTGCAATGTAAATATATTAAAGAATACATTAATTTTAGCATATTGTTTAGTTTAGCAGCGCCAAGTTTTTTCAATTAAATTTTTTTATTTGTATTAATTTTTAATTTTTGTATAAATTTTTAATCTTTTGTTTTTATTTCTAAGTTTTAAATTTTCTATTAATTTTTATGAATTTTGTGTTTTGTATAATTGGATATATTCTTTCTTTTAATATTGGAAATCAATAAATTTTATTTATATAGCATAAATTTTTATTTAGAGTTAGCGCAATTTTTTAATATCATTATATTTATTAAGAAATTAAAACAACTATTTTGTACAATTGTTCTCGGTTAAAATATTTGTATAATTTTTTATTTTCAGTTGGCGCAATTTTTTATATCATTATTTTTGTAGGATATATTTATACAACTTTTTTTGTTAAAATATTTTTAAGTTTTTATTTTCAATAATTTAAAATGATACTATTTTGTGCAGATTAAATTAAAGTAACATTATTTTATAAATACATGTGGGATATGGAAAAGAATGTGCTTGTAATATGCGTATATGTTTTGATCGGCACTTTGTACGCCGGAATATACAACCGCCGTATTATATACATATATATAAATAAGGAAGTCCTGCAGCAATGTCGAACAAGAGGATATCTTTATTTGTGATTTTTGTCAACAGAATACATCTTTATATTGTATTTTGATTAAAATAAATCTAGATTTTGTAATTACACGGTGTTTTGCATATTTTCAAATGGGTACTTGGTTTGAACCTACCGGTAGGACAAAACCGGGTACTTTGACTTCTCCACAAAATCTTGTTATTCTTGATAATCAAAAATTTTTTTTTCAGTAATTAGCCTTATTTTCTCTTAAGGTTCATTAAAGACTACTAACGGTCGGCAAAATTTTTTTTACTCTAAGATTTTTTGTAGAAAGACAAATCTAAAAAAGTACCCGGTTTTACCCTATTTTCCCCTATATGTTTGAAAAGCAAAATGATTATAATAAAAATGTCGCTCAACTGTTTCGATTCGCTCCGTCGCCGTCTCGGAGAGACAAAAGACTGACTTCTTGCGGCCGAAAAAAGGCTGTGTCGTGACACTTGAAAATTGTTTGTCTTAACTAGTTGATCCTAACTAGCTCTTGATCACTCGTACAGTTTCCGGATCATCTAACGCGGGTAAACATAATTTTACATACTGCTTCGCCGTCATTAAATGTAAGTCGCTTACGGTATTAAATAATGCTATAATTTCTTTACTGTTAATTACAACCGCTTTATGGACGCGATTATTTCGTCGCACAGCTGCACTGCATTTATTCACACGGCTGGACTCGCCTTTTTTAGCACATTTCGCGCCACATGCCCGAACTGGCCACACTAAGAACACTTCACTCCCTTTTCCTTGTGGAGACAGCTAAATGGTTTTTACCGCCGCAATTATAACACCGCCTCTCCTGATTTTTCGATCCTTCCGTCCTTGGCTTCTCCGGTTTCGATCCTGGCTTCTTCATTCGTTGAGGCTTTGATCTTTGATATCGCGTTCTTATATTTTCATATTGCGATAATTTTTTCCGCAGTTCCCTTATATCTGATGCGCCATATAGAACACTTTTATTGAAAACATCATCCTGTATATCAATGATATATTGAATTTTCGCTTCAGTTTCGATGTCAGCGTGACTCGCTATTTGTAACATGTGATACACATATTCTTGGTAAGATTCAGTGTCCTTCTTCTTCGCACGAGCTAACTCTTAGTGGATCTTCTTGCTGTTAATCGTTTTTCCAAATTCTGAAATCAAAGATCTCTTCAATTTCGTCCACGTCGTCAATCGCTTCTCATAGGATACGAATACTTTCGCAGACCCCCGCAGAAGTTTTTTCGCATAGATTATTTGCTGTGACTCTGCCCATCCACATATCTCAGAAATTTCCTCGAATTCTTCCAGCCATCGGCGGACGTTTTGACTGTCATCACTGCTGAACGATCGCATCAAATCTTCAATGTCTTTGAATGATAACACTTGCTGCACGACTTTTTTTTTCGGCGTCCTTGTTTTTTGCTCACCATCTGCATCTTCATCATCTTCGTCTTCGGTATCACTCTCCTCTCCCTCAGCGTCGTCTCCGTCGTCTTCTTTACGTCGAAGGTCCGTTCTCAAGCGCTCATGCAATTCGGTCTTGTTACGGGTACATCGTAGTTTCAGTTTTCCTAGTTCCTTCTTGAGCTCGTCAATCTTCAGAGCGTCCACGTCAATCACGGTTTCGTCATCAGCCATCCTCAGTGGTATTCTTTATCTTGACGTATTCACAAATACACTCAGCAGTCACTCAGACTATCCAATTGTCGCGCACTCAGTTCGACAATGATTCACTACGACGCACTCGCGGCACGCTTAATCCAAATCCCGGACGAGCCCCCAAAATATATGTGGGATATGAAAAAGAACGTGCTTGTAATATGCGTATATATATGTTTGAAAAACGAAATGATTATAATAAAAACGGTTATAATAAAAATGTCGCTCAACTACTTCGATTCGCTTCGTCGCCGTCTCGGAGAGACAAAAGACTGACTTCTTGCGGCCGAAAAAAGGCTGTGCCGTTAACGCAATCTTATTGCAAATGCTCCAACCGTATAACTTTCGTAGGTGCGCATTGGGGACTTGGGCGGCAATGACGGAGACGTATCTTAATAATAAAAATTTTATACATTTTGATTTTGCATCATATTACCTCCGGTCACGATACATATAGAAAAAAAATAAAGACACTTTTATTATATAATTCAAATCCAAGCTATCAATTAAGCCTATTAAAAATACGATCGGTTTAGCCGTTATTGAGGTCCGACAATCTAAGATACTCGCAACTGGCCGACTCGCGTATAAATACCCGGAGTGCCTCGCTGTTTCGCGTGAACTTGGCGCAAGACACTATCGTGTCTGTTAGAGAAATATTGAGAGACGCTATTCAATTAAAAGAGACAATGATAAAACAGCCAGAGATATATATAAAGATTAACGCATCTTTTCGACAGTAAAGTTTTGATTAATAAGTCTTACCAAGATCACTGTCCACGTCATGAATGACGATCTTGATGCCCTCTCCGTCGACCAGACTGCCCTGTCGAGGCAATTCGCGTTCTTCAGCTGCGACCCTGCTAACGGCCGTTGAAGGGGCACCTTTCGCCGCTCCTGGTTGAGCTGATGTCAACGCCCTTATCGCGTTTATGTCAGGTCTGAAATTAATACGTAGAATATCCAACATGATTAGCCAAATATCTTTCAATAAATAATTATTTTAGAATAAAGATTTTTTTTGTGAGATTTAATTAATTTTTGCTAATTAATTGGGTAAATATGCCGATGAAGGAAGGCAGTCCCGATGCCCTTGATCTTGACATATGTTGTCAAGGTCATGACCCTGAACAATTCAAAAGGTTTCAGCCGTCGCTCGTTTTTTATTAAAAAGTTATTAACAAAAAAAGTTTGAAAAATATAGCAGTTATTTTGAATATTGAAAGGCATAAATGACTAATATGTATGTGCAAATAGTACATGTATGAACGAAGGAAAGTCATTTAAAGCAGTGAATCGTTGATATATTAAACAGTCTTTTTATTAAAACAGCGAATAGTTGGTATAGAAAAGTATATATACAATTTTATGTGTTAGAAAGCATAAATAGCTTATATTTTAAACTTACTGCGTCCACGCATACACTTTTCCACCCACACAGGAATTGTAGGGTGGATCTCGCTTCGCGTTGTAAAGTATATGCATGGATGCAGTAAGTTCCGCTCCTCCCCCTCCTTCGGGGGACTCCACTACCAAATAAAAACTAGACACATAGGTTTGAGTTGAACCTCGTTTTGCGTGGAAAGTTGTAAACCCATGTGGAACCTCACTTCGCATTAAAAAGCGTATGCGTGGAGACAGTGTGTTCCGCCTCCCCTACGGGGGGGCTTTACTTCCGAAAGATATAACCTAACCCAAACCTATTTCTGATTTAAAACTAAAATTTGGTTTGGGTTAGGTTATGTCTCTTGGAAGTGAAGCCCCCCGTAGAGGGGCACACTGGCTCCACGCATACGCTTTTTAATACGAAGTGAGGTTCCACATGGGTTTACAATTTTCCATGCAAAGCGAGGTTCAACTCAAACCTATGTGTCTAGTTTATTGGTAGTGGAGCCCCCTCCCCCCGCACGGGGGGCGGAACAAACTGCCTCCACGCATACACTTTTTAATGCGAAATGAGGTTCTACATGGGTTTACAATTTTTCACGCGAAGCAAGGTTCCATATGGGTTTACAATTTTCCACGCAAAGCGAGATTCAACTCAAACCTATGTGTTATGTCTTATATAATTTTTTTTTTATTTCCCGAAGTTGGGATGCCTTTCAATACTCAAAATAACTGCTATATTTTTCAAACTTCTTTTGTTAATAATTTTTTAATAAAAAACGAGCGTCGGCTAAAACCTTTCGAATGTTGTTCGGGGTCATGACCTTGACAACATATGTCAAGATCAAGATCATCGGGACTGCCTCCCTTCATCGGCATATTTACCTTATTTTTATAAACTTTAAGTATATTCAAAATATTCTTATATAGATGTATATACTTGTATATGTATATGTATATAAATTTTTTATTAATATTCTACTTTAAAAAATTTACGTTTACATTTACGTACTTTCAATTACGTGAGCAAACCACAAACATTAACGAGCTATTTGATCGACGAAGAAAAACTTCTAAGACATTAAAGACATTATGAGCACAGACATAAGCCGATTTAAATAACTGATTACAAGTATTATATAGGTTAGACGAGAGAAAATTCAAACTATCGCAGATTTAAGCCGCAAGATAGATATTGATCGTTCATATTGAAGCAAGTTTTGTTATTACTGAACTATCTCGGAATAATTGAGATAAGTTTATTAATAATTTCGCCAACGCTCGGGGCAAAGATTGAAAAATGTTACAGCCAGTATTGACTCAACTTTCTCGATTTTGTGATAAGACTTTCGGGAAATATTATTTTATTTGCTGAATGATATGAAATTGGTATGGATCCATATTGATTAGAAAATAATTTTTTGTTTACAATTTATTTATATCGAATGGTATAATTAAAATTTTTCTTGCTTCTGAAAAATTATTTGTAATTTTAATTGAAAAGTGTATTGATAATAACTGAAAATGTAGATTAAAGAAAATAGAGTTTTTTTAAAAATATTTAATTTAGGCATTATTATAATCGTTTAATTTTTTATTTCAAATATTTTTATTTCAAATTTTTTATTTCTCTCTAATTACAATTTCGCAAAAAAAGAAAGAAAAAAAGATCCCTTGCGAGCATAATAAAGAAGTTGAACTTTATACTTGTCGCATTTTAATTCATCAAATTGTCTAACTTACAACATAAAACAAGTTTAATCTTAAATTAGATTTTCTTCGCGAGAGGGGAAAGCAAACGAAGACAGAATGTGAAACATACGGTCTCGCTACTGACATATTTACCAAAGAGAAATAAAGTTTTTTATTTTATTTAATTTTTTTTTTACGCCGCGACAAGACTTTTAAACATAGCCTCAATTGTGTTAAATTGTTCGACTCGCGCAATGAGCATCGTCGAGCAAGCAATGTATTTATCCTCCCACGCACAGCGTGATACCATGGACACAAATTACCATCCTAATTCCGCGCTATAAAGGCTAAAGAAGCTTACGTTCGAGGTTCATAAAGTAGTCTCGGCCGTAACTGCTATTTCCCCCCGTCGCAAAAACGGCTAATAGCTTTCCGGATTTCGTCGGATACATTTAATGCTAAATGCATCTGATTTTTAACTCGCGAGATAACTTTGTGCGCGATTTTAATATATGAGATGTAAAACTTCAACTATATCTAGACTTTTTCGAAATTTAAATCTCTTCAAAAACCGATATGTTCATGATTTGTTTTTCTAAAGAATAATAATTTTTTCAACCAGAATAAATTTTTATACGATAATAATATAATGTATAACATATATTAAATTGAATGTGTTTTATATGTTACATGCGTTTCAGAATTTCTCTGAAAATAATCTCTTTTTATATTTATGTGAGAAATTTTGTTCTACGGATGTAGATTTTCTCAAAAAGATCGATTAATTTAAAAACGTGAGGTATGAATATGGTTTCCAGTATGTAAACACATGCCAAGAGGAAAGCATCGAAACATTGGTGTACTCAAGCAGTTTGTCGTATATGCGAAGCTCTTGCGCATCGTATCGAAAGTTTCCGGCATAATCCTGCAAAAGTTTTCCATGTAGAGGAGAAATTTCAGCGATAGTTACGACAAGAGCACCCTCTACAAACTAACGACGAAGAATAAAGTTCCATTTTCGCGGTAAACCGTTTGATTAGAAACAGAATAAATAAAGAAAATGCGCATAAAGAAATATAAAAAGTCAAAGTTCATGTGCAGATTTTGTATTTACGAAAAAGCACGAGTGATATACATATATTTGCTTAACGACATTTTAATTTGAACTATATAAATTTGCGGTTTCTGAAACTTTTTTAATATGTTTTAAAAAGTATCGTAATATTAGTGTTGAATTCTCATTAAAATTGACTGAGAATTCATATTGAGATTTACTAAACTTGAGTTATACTGTGCGATCTATTTATATCATGGTGACTTTACGAGCCTTTTTGGTAGAATTTCTTCAAGATTCATTGCAGCAGGAAAACGTGAACGCGCGGTCTTGATCGCTTTTGCAAAGAGTTGGCTGCAAGTTCGACTCGCTTGAGAGAAATACGAGAGAGTTCTTCAAGAATAAGAGAGCGAGTGGATGGAACATATATGTCTGTATCGTGTTTCCAACGTTCTACTTTCGAAATAACGGAGCGGAAAGTTACTGCATCGCTTCTCGTAATAAATAAAAATTCATAAGTCGGTTGCGAGCCGATTATACGCAAACGATTGTTTGAAAACCCCGCGGCTACGCTGCATTAAAAACAGACGATATCCTCCCGATGTGTATGACATTGATGCAACCGTCTCGCCATATCCTCCCGTTTTCCTCTCGCAAATTGAAACTTGCAATTTCGCTGACGACCGCGGCAGCGCGTGCCCCGCAGCGCTGGGCTTATCATTTCGCATTTTTATGCGCAGCGCGGAAAAATCCTCCCTCCCCTCCAAAGAAAAAGAAAGAAATAAAAAAAGCGATGCGAACGCCGAGGCGAATAAGATAGATTTCAAACGAGCCGTGCAACTTTTAACGAGTCTCGAGTGTTCCAAAAACGTTTCCGCTTCCCCCGAGATGCATAATTTCGCGACCGCGGCACGCTCGTCGTTCAATTATTTTTGAAGAAATGGAAACGCGAGCAAAAGATCACTATGCACGTACGAAATAATATTTTATCGACGTGACTTTTTACGTTCTTCGCTAATTGTACTTCTTTTGTTAATTGTATCCTGTTACGACATAACGCAATAATATTGAATTACAATGATATTGAAAAATTTCCTTTATTATTTTACATTTATCAGCTCTTCTTCTCCGCGTTGTTTTTGGGACAATCGTAATTGCATTTTGAGTCTCTCTTTGAAATAGTTTGCAACCATCGTTGCGCCCTAGAATACGGAATATAATTATGGAAAGAAGGTCAATTCTCCCTGTTTTCACAGGTGTTTTCCCTGTTTATTACAGCTGACACACGCAAGAAAAAAAAGATATATTACAAATTCTAATATATTATCTTTATAAATTAATATATTAGAATATTATACAAAACAAGTACAGGGTTTCACTATCCTGAATCCATCTGAAACAACGTCAATTACTCGAATTTAATTAGAAAAGAGATTTGTTTCCTCTATTCATGTTACTATGATATTTTCTTGGTTAAAGAAAATCTTTTAATTTTCAATATTCAATAATGTCAAAATTAAATCCTTTATTTAATTTTTTTCGAGGTAGAATTGATCGAAGATTCGTCAAAGAATCTGCTATTAACAACGAGCGGTGTCTATAAAGGCAAGATTGCTCTGCGAATGGACCTTCTTTCATCTTGCATTGATAAATCTTCCTTCTATAACCGCGTTCAATCATACGAACTTGTACTCGTATGGTATCGACAAGAAGCGATTTTAGCCGCGAGCAATCGACCTTTCAAATGTGAATCCGTCGATTTGATAGAATCTTGCGTTAAACACACGACTTTGTCGAATGTTAGGGACG